GACAGACGGACAGACGGACGGACAGACAGACATGGCTTAATCGATTTCTTTTTTCATCCTGATCATTTATGTATACATTTGTCTATATCTATCTCGATTCGTTTTGGCTGTTACAAACAACCTTTATGTGAACAAAATTAATATACCCTTGTGCACAAGTGCGCTCGGGTATAAAGAAAGCAAATTTATAAAAACGTGGTAAAAATAGTACAACGAAGTTCTGGGGTTCAACGATTCGTCAGAGGATGAGAGTTTAGTGAACTGACCAGGAGTAGTAAATGTTTAAGAGAGTTTAAGTGTAGTCTTTAAAATATATTTTGACATAAAATATATTTAAGAAATTTGTCTACATATTTACTAAAAACTTAAAACTATCCACAGCTCTATGATTTGTTCTCAGAGATCGTGCCAGCTGAGTATTTGGATTTTCCTTCACAAGTAAAAGCAGCCTTTCGAGAATCTTTCATTTGTTCTGAATTTATACCAATTAGTCATGCTAAATATACAATTTCAGCGTACATAATATGTACGTTTAACAATTAGACTTTTTAATCTTACTATGTGGTCTTATTTGTACATATGATGCAAGCACAAAATAAGCCTTACCCTTAGTTATTAAAGTTTCTAATAAAAAAGGCGCTAAAAAAATTCCGAAAATGTCATTCATAGTCAGTGGCGGATTTGTCCTAATGCCCAGTAGGCCCGGGCCTAGGACGGCCGGATATTAGGGGCGACAAAAAAAACATACGCTGGTGGTAGCAAGACAAGCACGACCACAAATAAATACGTATACACTCAATATAGAGAAACCTAACCCTTAACCCTTAGTCTAACATGGAAAAAAACTTGGACCCTTATGTAAGTAATAATGTGGGTCCGACCGACCCACGCTGATAGTTCCTGCTGGATTTACGATAGCAATACCAATTATTTATTAAAAAAAAAAAATAACTTCATCAAAATAATAGATATAGACTACATAAAATTAAGCAAAATTAATGAGTTACAGAGCTGAAAAGCATCAGATATTGATATGGGAACACGAAAAAATCTCATTGGGTCCATTGAACCCGGCCGGTACACAAAGGGTTAACAGCTATACATATGGTTGCAAAAGCACCCAGGTCTTAGGAGCTTTATAATATATTTATTTTATTACTTACCTGACGAAATTAAGCACGACATAAGTGGAAAAAAAGCCTAGGACAGGGGAGACTGCAAATCCGCCACTGTTCTTAGTTCAATGATTTTAGACATTTTTAATAGTCTTATGGCAAAACAAGTCATATGGCTTTTTGGGTTTAACCCTTTCAGTACAAAAAATTTACCTGAGAATTTGTACACCAGCTAATTTTTGGTCTCTGATTTCAAAAATACAATCCAAAAGTTTATTAAGCTACCGTTACCGTTATTCAGAGTCCATTATATTGGACGGTGGTACCCCAGATTTGTAAAATGGGAATAACATTAAATTTTTTTCGAATCTCAATTCCACCGGAAAATATTCAATTTATTTGAAGAAACACAATGAAGACGAATGACATACTTTTTTCAAAGAAAACTGTTCTTTTAACAACAAAATCTCAACTTTTTAATTTGGCAGCAAGCGAAAAATCCTGAAGACTTCTGAAATCATAAGAAATAACGAAACAAATCTGGGAAAACTCTTAATAAAATCCAGATACAATCCAAAGACAGGTTGAAAAGTAAAGGAAATCAAAGCAAATCACGAAACATTGCATTGATTGCCGTTGAAATAAGATTATGATTTTACCAGTTACTTTATGCTCCAGAAAAGGGTTGCAAGAAATAGTTAATCTGCAATTTATAAACCTTTTATAAAGCTGCTTTATTTTTTTTATAAGGCCATTGGTATTTAAGCTTTTATTTTTTCGACGTTATATTTTATACCAAAACCAAGAATACCATGCGTTAGCGGAAACCACATATTTTACAATTTCAATGGCATAAATGTAGAGTTAAGTATTGTAAAAAAAATTTAAACTTAATTTCCAAAATTTTCCCTTTTTTAAATTCCTGTGTCTGGCAAACGGGCGACGATATGTAATTTTTCCATCCGAATTAATCTTGCTATGAAATGTTTGATATTTAGAGTATTTGAATATGTAAGAACGCGCATAATTCAATAGGTACGCAACTACTGTGCAAAAGAAATTATAGTGTACAGTAGTGTGTATTGTGACACATTCTGTCAAATGGTACATACATATCTACAAATCCATACATCATATGTACCTGCATAAGATAGTTAGTATATACATATGTAGAGATATATACGTACGTACGTATGCACCTCCCTATATACCATCTGCAAAACACTCAAAGCTCCACCAGTGCCAATTTCACTCATTTAAATTTATCTCAATCGCCAAACACAGAACAGGAACGTGGTGGAACACAAACGAAACAGTACATATAAAAACAACCAAAAAGTCACTCTCTTCTCACTCACACCCCATTGAGCAAACAAGCAAAAAATTAAACTCATTCCTCTCGCACGAAATGCGTTGGTAAATAAACTATTTGCAAATGCACTCAGCTGTCAACAGCAGCCGAATTTCAAACGAAAAAAGAAACCAGCAACAAAAAACAAAATGACGAATTTATGATGGCTGCAACATGCGCGAGCGAAAGAGATAACTACGGTGAATAATGTGCCGCTATGTAGAGGCGTCGTCGTTCATAAAGAATCGTTTGCATTCATACTTGGCAGCGGAAAGGTGATGCTTTGTTAAAACGGAGAAGTTGCGTCCTATAGACATTTCTCTTCAACGTTAACGGCATTGGCAACAATGGAGCGGAGCGCTAGAGCGAAGAGTTTAGTTATTTATGTTGGGTGTGAGCCGACTCCAATTGGAAAATAAATGGCCTTCGCGTTGTGTATGGGAATTTCTCCAGCAAACGGAAGTGAGTTTTCATGAAAGTGCTGTTTGCGTACTGAGAGCTGTCTCTTTCTCACTTCTTACCAGCTCAGCGGCTGGTTAGAGATACATAAAAATTTGTACAGGATTTACCAGAGAATTTTATTCAATTTGCGGCTCACCTGTACTCTCTCTTTGCCACAACCGCTCTGACTGTTGTGCTCTGCTCAACTCATTGCCACAAACATTGTTGGGCGCATACACTGCGTATTCTAAGCACAACCAGGTGGATGGGCAGTAGGGCGCTTTTCCGCAAGCACCTACGCATTTGTTTGGGTGGCATGCATGGAAAGTGCGTTTGGCGTTTGTGCACTGCACTGCGCTCAATTTGCAGATGTCTCTTCATTGCTGCTTTGTTTTGTTGAGAGCACTTCAATAACCATGGTTGTCTTTGCTTAAGCGGAAGCATGAAACTACGACGAGTGCATGCCTTAGCGCCGCTGCCTTGTTCTTTGCGCAAATTGTAATAGTGTGACCGGCTTTTCTCGTTAACGTGCCGCGGCAAGTGTAGGCCGTAAGCAGTTAAGTGCGCTGCTAATAATGGCGACGGCCAAGAGGGTGGCGCGTTTGCCGCAAAACAAGCTCTACAACAATTGTTGGTGTTTAGCGTTGCCTTCTTGATGTGGCTATTGTTGCTGTTGCACTGCGCTCGTTCTTCAGTTACTTACCCACACCACGACCGTTGTGCACACTCCTCCTCGTCCGGCAGCACACTCAACAGCTAAACAGCTGGCTGACCAACTGACCGTTGCTTGCCGTCTGCTGACTCAAGTGTTGAAAAGATAAATTTCTCTGCTCGTCGGGTTAGATTCTCGACTTCTCGACTCGTTCGCACCGCTCGTCTTGAGAGCTTTTTTTCTGCTTGTTTTTGGCTGCTTCCACATTTCGCCAATGCCTTTTGTTATTGCTGTGGTTTGTTGGCTGTTGCTCGTTGTGAAAGGCCGTTTGCTCGTCGCTCAGGCAATTGTCGCCTCCATCGATCAGCTGCTGCCGCTGCTGCTTCTTCTGCTGCGGCCGCCGTCACTTGCTGTCGTTTAGCTCGCCACTCGAGTGCGTTTCGCACAGTCGACTTTAATAACGTTGCCGCATTCGCTCCATTTCCATTTGTATTGCCGACGCTTTCGGCTACTTCGTTGCCATCCTCAACGCTGCCGTCCGTCGTCAACTCGACTCAGCTGTGTTTGCTAAATCCGCCGTACAACTGTTGGCGGTGCTTTTAATGTGTTGTGTTGTGTTGTGCTAAGCTATGCGCCGCGCCACGCCGCGCCACGCCGCGCTCGCCATTGACTAACGCAATTCACGGACGGGGATGGGCGGGCGCCACCTGACATTTCGCCAACAGCCGCCGTTTGGCATCTTCATTCATTGGTCAGCGTGACAATGGAGCGGTTGTCGTGTTAACGGATTTGCGAGTTTTCGTCGGCGCCACTTTACGCACTGTAAATTCGTAAGCAGAGCGTGTTGCACACGCGTTCGCTGAAATTCCTACGCGAAAGTGTTACAATTTTAATTGAAAAATTAATGTTAAGGTTCGGTAATAAAAGATTTGTGAAAAAACTAAAAGTGAATAAGTGCGGCGCTATAAATCATAATAATTTATTAAATGGATTAAAAAAATACAAATAAATTAATGATTTGTAAAAAAACTAAAAAAATATTTTTTTTTGTAAATTAAATTACTCTTAAAAAATATTTACAGTAAAAAGTTTTCAATTTCCTTTGCCCTATTACGCGAAAATTGCTTTCCCATAGTCAGCAGCAATAGAAAATGCTTCTGAGCAACACACCGTCACAGCCACATCAACAAAAACAATCAACATCAACAACAACGACGCAAACGAAATGTCAACAACAGGAGAATCACCAGCAGCAGCATAGCCAGCAGGATAACAAAATTTTCCAAAATAACAACAACAACTACTACTTCAATCATAACGATAAGCAAAATCTGAATTATTCGCCCAACAAGCTGACACAGCAGCTCCCGACTTCCACAACAGCGACAGCAACGGGCACCACCACCGCCGCTGCTGTGGCCGCAGCCGCTGCAGCAGCCACATTGTTGTTCAAACAAACTGGAGCATTCGCATTAACTGCCACCGCAGCTGAAAGAGCAGCAACAGCAGCAGCGACAACAACAAATATCCTCAACAGTAATTCCTGTGTCAGCGCCACGGATTTCTCAATTGCTGCGATAATGGCGCGAGGCGCAAATGCCTCGAGCCGTGAACCATCCGAAAGGAGTTTGAGTGAGTAATGAGATGTACTTATCGTTCGCAAATATGTACTTACTTATGTACATACATGTGTAGCGACATACTTACATACATGCATTTTCATACACACGAATATTTCGTTAAAATATATACATAATTGAAACACAAGCGAAATCGAATAAGAAAACCCAGTAGAAAAAAGATGTAAAAAGCAATTACGGAAACCCTTCTCTGGAATGTAGAGCTTACCATCTACAAGATTTCCTTAACTATGAATTAAAAATGATAGTTTCTAGAGCTTTGCGCGCCCCTTGTGGAACAGGGTCCGTAAGTGATAAGCCCACATTTTCTATTTGGGTATGGGAAAGAAATAATGAAAAATTGTTGGGGCAAAAAAATCTTGAGATGAAAAAGGGTATTTAGTTTAGCCTATGCTTCATGTTGTTGGCGTAGGCCAGGATTTCGGGAAGGGGAGCATTGAAAAATTTCAGGGACAACTTAAATGTATCTAAGACACAATGGCTAGCGCCGTCGCCTGTATAAATTCTCTTCAGTCATACCATTTCAGATTTCACTAAATAATCTGGGCTATCGCTGCATCCATCGTAGTCCAATTTTCATGAAATCTATGGAAATGCGATCACTGAATCCGAATTCCTACGAACGTATGCGTTCAAAGTTTATGCCTACGTTCGTCGCTTTTCGAAATCAGTGATAGAATTTTCGTAAATTTCATACGGACTGTGATGGATTCAGTAATGGCGCTGAATAAAATCACTTTGTTTTGAAATTATATACCACTTTATATTTTTCTCTGTAGAATAATTGCTCCTCCTATTTTCGAAGTTGGATTCCTCTCTAAAAAGATCAGCAAAATCTAAGTAGAAAATATTAAAAGAAAATAATTATTTTACAACTTATTTGAAGTAAATCATTATATTTCCTGTTGGAATGTATTTTTTTTGTATAGGAAAAAATACCAATCAGCTGTTCGTAAACATTATTTATGAGCAGCGAACGGATTTTTAAAACTAAAAACTAAAACTAAAAATGGCAAAATAAAAGAACGAAATAGGCTGGAAAAGACAAAATAAAATAGCGAGATAGGCAGGAAAAGGCACTAGCAATCGCAGAAAAGGCAAAAGAAGGCATTAAAAAAAGAAAAAAATAATAAGAAAATACATTTATTTTAGAAATGTTTATGTTTTACTTTTTACGATGAACTTGTTTCATAATATGAAAAATGTGTACTTTGAATATTTGACTATTTGCTCCTTTCGATTTTTAACTCACAAAACTTTAATCGCTATAGTTGTAGTTATAAAAATGACAATCCCCCAAGCTTGTGGGATCGAGGTCATCGATCCCGCGGATCCGCGGTATTTTCGGGACTAAAAAAATAATATTTTTTCCTCTAAACCGTTATATTCAAAATTAATATGTAAAAAATACGAATTGAATTGAAAATCTACGTATTTACTTTTAATTAGATAGACGTTTTTGATAATATTTCTGAAGGAATAATAAAGTCTTTAAAGTTTCATCTTTTAAATTCTACCTTATTTTGCACAATCAGGAACTTTTGATTTTGGTAATTATGTATAATTTCGCTATATCGGTTGGGTATTTTTCAGAAGAAAATGTAATGTTTGATCTGAAATAATACCCCCTCGCTGTAATCCCAAAACTAGCTAAAACATCCGTAGATTCTGGATTATTCAAATTTAACTAAGCTTCCCTGTTTTTCGGCGTAACTTTTTACCATTTATATTTGAAAATGGCGTTAAAGTAATATATTCTATATAACATACTCTTGAAAATTACACCAGAGCTGAATGTGTGCCTCTAATAGAACCAGAGTTATGATTATTCGAAATATAGCATCTAAAAGGAAGCTCAAGAAAAAAAATAAATTTTTCCGCTGGCACACTTATTTATCGATAGAAAAGGGCTATTCTACACTTGTATAATGTGTTCATAAATCGGTAAGTGTTCAAAGTATAAGCTAGTTTTAAAGGCGAACGTTTTCAAATTTTAATCAATTACGCAAGACCACAAAAAAATCGTCCAAAGATTAATAAAACCAGACCAGGTGTTTAGATGTTCTTTTTGCTCCATCACGTCAGGATTTTCTTCCAACCTCAAAAAACATTGCGAAACTCAATCAACTCCTCCAAAAGGTCTTCAGAGGTACGTCCTATGAAAGGGCTTCTGGAAAGCCTTCTATGGGTAGCAAAAGAAGAAGCCCTTCAGTTGATGACAGTCCTTAAAAAACAGAAAGGAGAAAGGAATGTAGAGGCGAAGGCCTCTTGACTCTCACAAAGGCCTTTCGGAAGGGCATTTAACGCCTAAAATTATCTACTGGGTTATAAAATGATGTATATTTAATACGGCCATGCACGACGAACATTTTGGCCAGCCGTTAACAACTCGCATGCGTATTTTTAATTTTTTTCTGTAGTCTTGCAAATCCCACGGATTCCGCATGTGTAATCCCTCATTTAAAATCCCGTAAAAATGGCGCGGGATCCCGCGTTTGCGGGATTGGATTCCCTTGTTTTAGTAAAATTGAACCACTAGATGCCGTTTGAAGTTTCATGGCAGCATTTTTATTCGACTTTCGCGAAGAAAAGGCTTGAATGTACTAAACGTGAGCTCGACTTGAGTTGGTACAAGTTGCGCCCTCCCCAGCCCACACCTGCGTACGTCCATCTACTATGGGCGTTAAGAGAGATATAGCTTATATAGCACCGATCTTGACTCTCAGTAGACTTTGTATGATTATTTAGAAAATATCTCACGAAATTTTCCGGTATTTGACGTTGAGGGAGTTTTAAAGTAAAACCTCATATTTGAACAATAAGTTGTATGGTCGCTATAAGTTTTAGTGACCCGATCTTAGTCACTACTGTATTACTGTTTACAAGAGGGAAAATAGCGAAATTTGATCTTCCTAGCTCCAGAATTGGATGAGTTATAACACAAATCTCACATCTGAGCTATATGTTATAGCAGAACTGGGCACTTTATGATTACGATTACATTTTGATTACATAGGATTACGATTGCTGTAATTGTAATCCCGAAAATTTTCAGCATTACGATTACTGTAATTGTAATCATACTCTTTATGATTCCGATTACAGTAATCGTAATCCGAAAAATTTAAGGATTATAATTACACTAGTCGTAAACATTAAAATAACGATTACGAATACTTTAATTGTATTCCTTAATATATTACGATTACAATTACTGGAATCGTAATCATGAAAACCATGATTACGGTTAAAATTTAAGGATTACAATTAAACGAATCGTAATCGTATATTTAATGATTTTAGTTATAGTAATTACTGTAATAAGAAGTACGATTGCGATTTCTTTAGCTGCAAGATTGCGATACTTCGTAATTTATCAACAGTCACTTATGAATGTTGAATATGCCACACTTCAGAACAAATGCAGGTTTTTGTAAGGGTAAGGAAATTTAATTTCGCTTTTAATTCAACGGCCGCAGCAGCTCTAACCCAGCAAACAATTACATAGGAAGTTGGCACAAACCAAACATAAAAAATGTAGGTTTTTTTAACTTTGCATTAATATACCTTACTATTTTATGATGATATGCGATTAGATATTGATATGTCTATAAGACATTCCGGTTAAAACAAATGATTTATTCATTATAAAAATACAACGACTTACAAAATTCCAGTCGGATATCTCTAAAAACCAGACTGCGTTCAAACAGACGGACAGGGCTAAATCGGCTCAGCTTGTTTTACCTTTTTTAGCTACTAAAACCACGTTTTTTTTTAATAAAAATATATACATATTCGAAGAATATGTATTTTAAATGCATTTTTGGCTTTAGGCTTTTATGTTCTACGGCGCCATTTGGGTACCATCTTTTGCTGAAATGGTAGATCAGTATATACGTATTTGGGTGCTCGATTATTCGCCTGTTTTTGGAAAACCGGTTTCAAGCTATTCGAAAAATGGTAATTTTAAAATACCCGACTCCCTGTTATGAAAAACCCGGATAAACCGTTTTCTTTTTATATAGTTCCTCTACAGTAACACTTATTGTAAGTCAAAAATCAAAACCAAATTACAATATCACTGCTAGCAAGTAATTTTTCAATTCTCATATAAAAATTCAAGGGTACCGTTAATTTCTTCCTGGATCAATGATCGCATCTAAACCAAATTAGTATAGGACCACCTCTGAGGTACCACTTTCCCTTAAAAAATGAATTATATAAATCGGTTAACGTCTGTTTTCCCAACGATTGTGCATAATGGTTTAACGGTGAGATTTTTGCAAATGTTCCATCTCGGGGTAGATGTTAAGGATAGAAATTAGATGCGCTGAAGAACCGAAAAAATAATGATGCATATTCTGGATGAAGAGGCAGCATCGCCTCCCACCAAATTCAAGGAATGCCATCAGCATGGTACAAATGGTTCTCTCGGATTCAGTTCGAGAGCTCCGGCTTGATCCCCTTTGTTTTGTAAATAACTGATATTTATGTTGTTGTCGATGAAGAAAATTTACATTCGAAAATTGTAATAAAAAAATTAAACGCCATCGCAGAACTTCGCGCCCCTTGATTTGGCGCCCAGGGCAACTGCCATGTTTTGCAGGCATCATTTTGAGAAAATAGATACGGACACTGAGTGCGGTTGTGTGGGAATTTGAAATAGGGTGCTGAACAAATTGATGCAACTGATGATTATTACCAAATGAGTATCTAATATATAGTATAACATAACCCCATATGATGTCCGCACATTTGCAAGAATGATTTGTGAATCATCAATCAAAGTTTTTGATATACAGTCCGATTTAAATTATACTAAGAAATCTGGAGATGTCAGCGAAAAATTTGGTTTAAGTGCAGGATATTTATAAAATCGTTTTTTTTCAACTTTGTAAAAATGTGTTTAAGATCGACATTTATTGAAGTTAGGTTTGCTCAAACTTTTATTATTATAAACGTTGGTTAATTATCTTCATATGCATGATG